CTTTAGAGTTACCTTGTAATAAACCATAGCGATAATGTAGAAAAGATAAATACAACACAAATGCAACCATTGATATTAGACCTAAGTAAGATAAACATTTCTTTAATAAAACAATAATACCAACCACCGCAATGTTTTATGCTTTTGTACATCTTCGGGCATACATCCTAAACAGAACCAGCTCATTCAAAGTATTAACAAGGTCTTCTGAACTCCCTATGATACTTAAACCCAAGACTTCACACAAGTCTATCAAACGAGAATCAGATGTCTTCAAAATAAGAGCAATTGCCCAATATATAGCTATAGTTTTAAAATATATATATCTGTACAGTATAAACACCAAAATTAAAACAAGAACTATTGTAATTATTGCAGTGTCAAATTTTTGTTTCTAAATCGTGGCATTTGGCCATTTTTGACTATTTGTGAGACAAAAAGGTAGAAAAAAGTATGCCTACAAGAGGAGAGTTTATAGCTTGAAGAATATCTTCATGAGAGACTTTGTGGAGTAGGCTAGAGGCATTTCAACAACTGGCTTGTTAAGAATAGATCTTTTCCTATGCTCTGTATTTGGGACTTCACTTGAAAATCGGCATTCTGGTGATATCCAAGGTGCAACTGTGTTATACATTATTTCCACTTTCCATGGATTCTCCTTACAGCCTGGTTATTCATAAGGTTGAGATCAGTGAACTGGATACATAAACTAATACAGAAACTATCAAATAACATGTGAAACGTAGACAAAAGCAAAAAAAATGTTAGAATAAAAGCTAAGTAAAAACCAAATAAAGTTAATTTATAATTTTGTTGAACACTTGAATGTTTTTAAACAAAACAACGTGGTATTGATACTGTCAGATTGACCACGAGATAAATCGGTAAGCATAATTCAAGTATGTAAATGTATTCCTGCCCATAAAATCCTCTTTCTATAATCTCCATCTGATATAAGTTGCATCTACATCAATGAGGTCACAAGTATTTTTGGTTTAGTCAACGGCTTCAACTGTATGTAAACGAAATATCAAATTTACAGCTTGTGATATTTCATCAGATATGTTTCAAATGCGCAGCCAAATAGTGTTGCTAATGTTACCTGGTCTTCTGCACGTGTTTTTCCAATTACCATCACATATCAGCACTGTTGGATATATTCCACATTTCAAGCAACAAAAGTCGTATTGATAGTCTTGGAGAGCCAAAAAATGCAAAAACGCATTCCTGATCTTATTATAAGGTATAGTTTCGATGAACAGCATTTTTAGATTGCTCTTAATTGAGATTGCAAATCATATTTGACCAGAACAAATATTGCAATACAACAAAATACCTAAAATGAGCTTTTTAGTTGAATTCGCTATATTTATGTGAATTTAGCACACGCCTTTGAGCTGCCTTGTCTTTAATAGACCAGTAAACGGCAATAATCAATAACTCACTTTCAGTCCACGCAGTAAATAACAACACAACTTGAGACTCATAAAAACACTATTGTCAAAATTATGAAAACCTTCTTCATATTCTTGATATCTAACTTCCATTCCACATTCAGCACATTCCTTGATGAGTAATTCAGTTGCTGTGCAAACATTTATAATAACTCGTAAAAATAGTTGTTAAGGAATAAAACATAGAAGCATGATTTAAATATCTTGGTATAATATCACAGACTATTATCTAACGTTTCGACTTAGGCAAAGTTATTTGGTCGAAATACAAAATTCGTATTTTATATCAATAAGAAGTTTAAACAATACAATGACAAGCATTCATACTTTTCCAAATGTGGCCCATTCCATATGCTACTGTTCGTTTTTTATTCTTGATGCATGAATCCTCGTTGCACTTAGGACATTTTTGTTCAGAGGGAGTCAGCAAAAGCGGAGGAGCAATGTCACGCAAAAGACGCTGAGGTATTTCAGCTGGAATTCTTTTTTTTTTTGTTAAAAGATACTTCATCATATAGTCCATATTATCAGTCAGTGTATGACAAATACTGTAGGAGATGTGAAGCATTGTAAATGAGAATTATCAGAAAATGCAACTTGCCAAAGCAAGTTCTACTATGTTAAAAAATACCTAATCCAAATATTTATAAAAAAAATATTGAATAGGCTACAACAGAGGTGGCCAACCTACTTGCGACCGCGATCGACTAAAATCTAATCTTCAGTCGTAAGTGTTGAATTTCTCAAAAAAAAACTTGCTCAGTATCCATGTATTATCTAAATAGCAAAAAATAAATATTCGCAAACCATAACAGTTACACGATTACTGAAACTTCCTGATATCCTCTTAGCTCGCCTAAAATTAGGAAAAATTGGCATTCTGATGCGACTGCTACAGTTGAGAATATAATTTATCACACTACTCTCGGAGTGAGACAACTACTTTCCACAGAATGCAAAAGTTATCGTACGATCATACGTTAATTCAGGCAATATTCAATATTCGATTCAGGCGACACGATATTCGGAACGCTCATTTCTTACTTTTGGCAGCGGCAAAACTTTATTTTGTTGCATATTGCATAATAATATGCTATTTCGGCCTCGCTTGGGTTCAAGGACTATATGTGTATATCGTATTTAGCGTGTGCGCAGCACTGCGTTTTTTCTATTTCAAAACACACAACATGCGCTGCATGAAACTGGTTAAACGCAATTTTTTAAGATATGTTATCGAATTTTCTGAACATCAGACGAGATCGACCACTCAGAACGTGGCGATCGACCGGTCGATCAACGTGTTGGCCACCCCTGGACTACAACATGAAAATGAAATAAAAAATTTGGCATTTAAACAATCTGTCCAATATAACAAGGAAGCACACATGCTACTAAGTAATATTGCTGGTAGAAAAGAAAGATTAGGTGAATATTTTAGATTATATAACTAATTCTACTGCAGAATATAATTCATTATAAAAGAAAATACACTTATTATGTATACAAATGCTTTGAATAAACCTGGAAGGGCGCTTGATCCATTCAGGTTGTTGCTCCAATAAACACCACTTCGCTACAGCAGGGGTCACCAAACTACGGCCCGCGGCGTCATTTTATCCGGCCCGCGATAACACGCAAAAAAGGCGAAATATTTTTCCAAAGAAAATTTTCCCGATCATCGTCTTCCTTGTTTATTTCGTAAAATTGGCCAATCAGCAAGATGCAAAAGAGTGACGTAATAATAGGACTTTTCGCATTCGCTCAGACACTTCTGTCACCCTGACAGATTTTCAGTCGTGGTTGTAAACAATACTTCGTTAGTTTTAGGTTGTGTTTGGGAAATTTAAGTATGAATGAAACAAATTAAGTCAGTCATCATTTGCCTCCTTAGGAGTTATAGTTTTAATAGTAGTAATGAAAAATTAGTCTGGAAATAGCAGTGACAAAATAGGTTTAAATTTTCTACCAGTATGCAACGTTTTCTGCGAAAGATACACTCGTGACGCGTGCTCTCGACGGAACTGTTTACGTTTCTTGTGCTAAAATGAACGTCGAATGTGCATTTTGCGCTAACAGTACTGTAATCCCTCGCCTACTGCTCCAATTTCAAAATTCACACTAACTTTTGTACTGCTTAAATGCGGATATTCATGTACGTATGTTACAAAAAAATTAAAAGTTTATCCGATTTGAATGAAAACTGCACAATTAGATAGATCTGAGTGAAAATAAGAAAATAATACCAAGTTTGTAAACAACGGTCAAGAAATATTGGAATTTTAGTACCGCCCGACAGGCCAATTTTTTTCATAAGGATTGTATTACTTTTTTGATAAGAACTGTAATAAATATGAAAAAAAAACATATCAATCACTAATCTTTCGATCTGCGTCACATCTATGGAATATTAAGACTATTTCAAGATTTTATTCTGGCCATGGTGTTTTACACCGCCGAAAGATCGTGGCAAATAAACGCTGGAGTTGTGCATGTTAGTTTGTCAGTGGTTCATTGGTAAATTGGTAAGTATCAAGATAGGATAAAATACACACGTCCACATAAATTTTATTGGTGTCTATGGACAATACCATTAATTTGCACTAAGTATAACTTGAGCAGAATTTTTGAAAGTTCTGAATGATGGGAAATTTATGCGCTAATGAAAAAAATCAAATACCAGATAATAGTTGTTTATTTTATCTAAATTATGTCAAAATTTTATGGAATTCTATGCTACAGCAAGCAGTCCGTAGTCGTTGTTATGAGCGATATTCCGACACGGCGTAACGGTACTTAGCACTAACTTATACTTTGGCTTAAGATGTATATTTATTTCGCATTTATTTATTCACTTGATATATTTTAATTTGCAGTTGCAATTCATTTTTTCATCTAGCTTGTTTACTTTAAATTTGATTCTTTCTTTGCACTAAACAAATATATTAATATTGAGTCACAAATTTGACGAAGTAACTGTGGCACCGCATACAGAGATGGCATTTTGATTAAGACCCGACACTGAATCGGTTGAATATTTTATCCCTCACATTTTCTGTCATAATTTTTACTGTTACTACAAATGTCTAATTGAAAAGAAAACGGGCCGTGGTCGAGTTCGATCTTAACTAATCATTGGATAATTTTAATCTTCATTCTCGCCAACAGGATTTTTGAATGGAGATATAACTTGAGTCACAGCCACATTGTTGTTAACAGTACATTACAACATTAAATTTACCTATTTAGCATTTGCTAATTGACTCAAATTCAATGTTTCTGTCGGAGGCTCATTCTTTATTTTTCAAATTAAAACCGGTTGTCGACTCTAGTAATCCGATTCTCTATGATTAGCATTGTTTATAGAATCATTGTCACATACAAACGGGGATTTCCCTTTTGTTTGTTTTTGTTTACAAAGTTCACTAAGAGTTGGTTGGTTGTTGGTTAATAAGAGCCAGATTATTCAAAATAAATTCCTCGAAAGTGGTATTCGGATTCGGGAAAGTATCTCCAGCCACAACGGCCATGACCCTCAAAACTGAGAGTTCTGCTTACCATACGATACCGTTTTGAGATACAAAATCTAGTTTATCTGGCCAATTTCTCAAGTCCGTTTGGTGTTAATACAAGAAAACAGAGGCAAACATGAGTGATTCTCAAGAAAATACATATTTTAAAGATTGCTTTGCCGAATTTAATGAGTAAGTTGTTTTTATGTCAATTTGTTAGGCTACCAGTACTGCAGTACAGTCTTGCCTGCCTGCTGAAACGGCTACTGGTACCGGTACCATACTATTTTACTCCATTTTTGTTTGCTTATTTAAATTTAACAAATAATTACTGTATTACAAAATAATTGCTGCAATCATCACCTCAGATTCCAAGAATAGTCTCACATCAAATTATAACAGTGAGAGCAAACCCATCTTTTACGACACAGTCCATATTGGCACAAATTGGCGCTGCCAAATAAACTTGAAAGAAAGTTCAAACTAAAAACGTCATCATTGAATTTCTCGAAAAAAATACCAGAAAGAAAAATTAACTGAGAGTTCTGGAAGTTTTAGCTAAAAAAAAACTTTGGTCGTGGTAATACAATGCGATTAAATTAAATCATTATCAAATCAACGAGACAAGCTTGCATTCTATGTTTAACACTAGGTCAGGCTAAAAACTCTTGAATGCTTTTTTAAAAAAGTTTTCTTTTGGTAATTCTCCAAGGAATCCAATGGTGACGTTATTAGATTGCGCTTCCTTTTTGTTTATTTCGCAGTGCCAGATTGCTGATGGGGAGGCCCAGACTGTCTCGTGAAGGAGAGGTTTGCATTCATCTGTTATAATTGATATCTTTCTAAGTGGGGGCTATTCTCGGAATCGAATAACTGTGAAGTATTGACATACTTGGCAGCGAAATAAAATTGGTCATCAGTTAAGTGAGCCAGTTAGATTCATTTTGAATCTTGAAAGTAGAACTATTACAAGAAAATATTTTATAAAACCAAACTTTTCGTATATTGACAATTTGACACCTATAGCATCAGGGTCAGGTTTGCTTTAGTTTCAATCCTATTTCTGTATCTCTGAGAATCAATGGGCATGATTAGTCAGAATAGTCATGCCCAATAGTAAACATTAAGTTTATTCTGTATTTTGTAAATTTTAGGTCTATATTTTAAAATTATATCATTTTTAGTGTATGTATTATTCTTTTGTTCTTTTCTTATCAAAAGTTTGTTTAAAAATGTTTTTGGATAGTTGTAAAGAATGAGAACTTGCATTTTTTGTAATAAATTATTTGTATGTAAAAAATCTGACATTAGTCAAAGCAATGTATTTATGGAAGGAATTTTTGAAAACTGAATTTTTGTATAGAGAGCCTTTCGTAGATAGAATCCCTACTGTATATGTAGGCTTACCATACGTCCCGCTTTAGGTGGGACTGTCCCGCTTTTTAGCGTTTTGTCCCGCCCAAAGCGTATATATAATATAAGCGAGGCAACGCTCTTACAATGGACGCCATCTTGTGCCTATTGTTCTCGTGAAATTAACTGAGCGCCTTATGAGAAGTTCCAACACAATTATTGAAACATACCTATTATTTTCACTAATATTTTAGGTAGAAAAATTTTGAAGGTCGTGTTCTGAAGTAGAATCTTAGCCGTACATGCTTTTATCGTTTCATGTTGGCCAAATTACATTTATAGTACATTAAATTGTCTTTGAAGACAAGTATACCGGTTCCGAGTTGCTTCCGAAGTAAATTGGCCATTCTAATCGTCATAATTATTAATTAACCATTTGACAATGGCGTTCCTTATGACGTCACAGATGAAAAGTTGTATTTATTCGTCGAAATCACCGGCCGACCCAACTTTGCTTCAATGGTCGTTTCTATTTTCTGGTTAACATTTTTCGACTGTCAAGCTCCATAATGCCCTACTGCTCAGCTCCAAGCTGCGCTAGAAGAACAAATGACATTGTAGGATTGTTGCGGAGACATTTTACAGCCTCAAATTGGCGTATCACTATAAAATCTTTGAAAAAATGACCAAAAATGGTTCTATGCTGTGTTTGTGGTCAAATTTAACGCATTAGATAGTTTTTTATTCCTAATTGCGTTATATATTCAGATAGCATATATCTTAAAGTTCAAAATCCACCCTTCGGTTTCCATCTAGCCCTTATAACAGCGGACTTATTCGATTCGGTACAACAACACGAAAATTTCCCATAAGACTGCATTGTTTCGCGTTTCCCAAATATGACACAAGATGGCGTCCATGAACTTGTTTAACATTAGGCAAGTTGGTTGCCGGCCGTTGGTCCCGCCGTCCCGATAAGTCATCCAAAAGTCCCGCTTTTCCAGCATACTACACAAACATGTTCTCGTTACTGTTGTTTCTGTGTGCGCAGCGCTAACCTACTTACTGAAGGTAATTGTTTTTTTTTCCCGCTGATTCTCATTGATGGCAGACATATCGCATGTAAAGCCAATACTAACTAATCTAAATTCGAATTATTTGTACCGGTATCGTTAACTTCAATTCCTTCCTATTTTTCGAACTGAACCCGATATTTTGACAGAGAATATGCATGAAAATTAGATAACAATATGGTCAATAAAAATAGCCCAGACAGCTTTAAATGCAGGAATTTAGGCCTATGTAGTAAAATCGGAAAATGTGAAGTTTTAAAATCACAGCTAAGGGGTCGTTGTCTTTCGAGGCGTCCCGATTTGAAGTCACAAAAATATGGTAACCCTATGTATATGAAACTTTATTCTTTTTGAGTTTTCATTTTCTGACTTACTGGGATTTATTAATCTTGCAGTTTTGATATCAATCCAATATGATTGAGAAAGTTCGGTTTTTGTAAGATGAGAGAGAATTGAGTAAATAACAATACTGAGATAAATAATGTCCTAGTTAAGATTGTTTTTATGTAAAATACAGTGTTCCCATTTGTCAAATCACATAAACTGTATAACTATTACTTGTCTTTCTATAACCTATTTTGGTGAATATACTATACAAATTAATGATTAAATGTGCCATGCAAAGAATATTAATTTAATAAGGCTGTTTAACCGGATTGTATGGACAAATATTTATTAAGTTAAAAGGGAACACTATTTTCAGGTTTTCTTCTTACTTGGTCACTGATCTGAAATTAGGTCAACATCCAAGTAAACTCCAGGTTTCAAGGTAGAATTGTCATATTCATGTCAAAGAGAGGAAAGTCAATAAGATGGCCTACATATTTAGTAATTTTTTTTATAATTTGTTCTCACAATCTCTCTTTGTATAAGGCTGTAGAGGCGCATCTATTGATATGTATTATACTTAGAGGCAAGGCTGTAGAAGCGCATCTATTGATAGCCTATGTAATATACTTAGAGGCAAGGCTGTAGAGGCGCATCTATTGATATGTATTATACTTAGAGGCAAGGCTGTAGAGGCGCATCTATTTATATGTATTATACTTAGAAGGAATGAGTCATTCACGGCTTCCAATGGCCACCTGGTTGTATTGCAATTGTATGTTAGATTGATGGCTCCATAATCAGCATGAAAGACAATATTAAAAGGATTGATAAAAACAAATAAATAGAAACTGATTATTAGGAGAGGAAACAAAACTTTAGATAAGGTTAGAAGTGTACAGAATTTAATCCTTATACTGTAAATTGTAAAAAAAATTAGATTTCATTGCCTGTTATTCATTAGAATTGCTCTGGTTTGAGGTAATATTTAGATAAATCTATTTTCAATATCTGAAATCTAAAAACCATGCAAATAGTTTATTGACATCTCTACTATCATGGTCAGGTTTATTTCTTACTTCTGCACCTCTGAGAATCAATGAAGCATGACTAGTAAGAATGTCTTTTCAAACAAACATATCAAAACAACAAAAAGGTATTTGTATGCCATTATTTTTAGGAAATCAGAATCTGTTAGTACCTGTGGCGTGTCCAGGATATTCACTGCAGGAAAAATTACCGCAAGTGCATTTTGCTGTGAAACAAGTACCGTATTTCCCGCGAATAAGCTTACCTGGTAAATAAGATGAGGCCCGTTTTTAATCCTGAAAAATGGGTGTTTGCATATAACCTGCCAATAAAACGGGGTGGTAAATTTGGATCAACATGGGAATCTCAAATTACCATGAACGGGCTTTTGAGCGGTCACCACGTTTGCGCATTGGTTAAAATAGCCTATAATGACTTTTTCTTGTATCGTAATATTCAATCCAAACAACTACGTGAATTCAAACTGTCATTAAATTTCAATCTAACTGTTTTCAACATACCTCGTGATTACGTCCACCATATATATAAGAACGATACCGATCTAAAATAACACGGCAATCTGTGGACATAATAATGTGAGATAAACTACCTGATTATATTACATTTTATAAATAATAATACATATAAAGTAGGGTTACCACATCTAGAAAGACAAAATCTCTGACAAAATTTTAGTGAACCACGTTGACCAATTTTGCAGCCACAACACATTTATAGTATGGTATAAATTCCTGATATATCCGAGGGAACACGCTGTCCTCGGTGTTCCGTGTGAATAGAATAAATACTGAACAAAACGAACGTGGCAAAATTGTTGCTAAACCCTAGCACGGAATGAAGTACAGGTACAAGTAGTATCGCCAAAAGTATTTTATAGTCCGAATTGAATAATAAGGCGACACCAAAAAAATGAAAATTATCATACTCGCCCAATAGGACAAACCCCCCAAAACCTGGCCAAAAATTTGGGTCTAGAAAAGCGACTTATTCGCTTTTTTCGCGGAAATACAGTATTTGTGATAAAAAAGAGTACCGGTAGGTTTATAGAGTTAGGGTTGGCTCTTAAAAAATGAATTTTTTTTTAATAAAATGGTACTTTGAAAAACTAACTGTTTTTATCACAACTACTTGTTTTACATCAAAATGCTCTTGCGGCGATTTTTCCTATGTTGCGAAATTCCTGCGGCGAGATTTCCTTCAGTAAAAATTTCTTGTGCCGAGTTTTCCTAGAACCCTTCTGTGGTTACCCACGACTTATCTCAAAGATCAATCTTCATTATTTCTGAGCTAGTGCATATGACCTTGCTTTGTGAAAATTTATTATAAAATATATTTGGTCTCTATGCCTGTCATTCCCACAGTTTTGATATCAGTCAATTTTGGATGAGAAAGTCTTTAATGGTTTGGTTGTTGTAAAGTTTAGGAAAAAATATCAAGACTGAGATACAGGATTGAGGATTGAATTTATGTGAAAACATAACATATTATGGCCTAACATACCCTGTTCTTATTGTAGCCGATTTGGTGGAAAGTACTTTACAAATTGATATTTGCTTTGCTCGTAATTACTGATTCAGTGTTCCCATTTTGTAAATCATCAAACCATATGTTTATCATGTTATATTGAAAGCTCTTGTGGTGAATACCGTATATCTTAGAAAATATGATTTTTAGTTGCTTTGTAAAGAATAATATTGAATGGTACAAAGTAGTTGAATTGTGCAGCTGGAATTTATTGTTCAAATCTTGTAACGTAACTTTGACTAATACAAGGTTACAGAAAATTTTTTGAAATATTGCGTAAATGTGTGGAAATATTCAGTGTTTCCATACGCCTAGCTGATTGTATATCTACACTTCTAGAAGTTGTTTTGGTGACTAATACATTACTTATTAATAAGTTTGCTTTGTTCACAAAATGAAAACTGTGGAATGGTACAGTCTACTAGGATTATGCAATCAGAATTTCTATTTATTCAAAACATGAACACTATTTTCAGGACTATTTCTATTAATTTGAAACTAAAGTAACATTTTGGGAATTATTTTATTAATATGAGAATTTCTGTTTATTTTTGATACTTTTGATCTCTAATCTGAAACTTGGGTTGATGTTTAAGTAAACTCCAGTCTTCAAGATAGGAATTTTAAATTTATATCATGAGATGGGAAAGCTCAGAGAACGGAAATATCATAAAACAACTCATTTTATTAGTTGTTCTAGCAGTTTCAATCTGAACAAGGTGTTGGTGCATTAAGATCATTTATTCTTGGAATGATTACATTTCTGGCACTCAATGGCAACTCATTGTTATTACACCAATGCTGTGGGTTCGACCAGTGTTGGGTGAAAGTCCCCAAACCCTTAGTCCCAAGTAAAGTCATTGGTTATGTAAGTCTTGAGTCATGTCTGAGTGCAAAGTTGAGCCACAGGCTGTTCGAGTCTTGATTCAAATTTGAGTCTGAGTGCGAAGTTGAGCCACGGCTGTTCGAGTCTTGATTTATATTTGAGTCTGAGTGCGAAGTTAAGCCACGGCTGTTCGAGTCTTGATTCAAATTTGAGTCTGAGTGCAAAGTTGAGTCACGGCTGTTAGAGTCTTGATTCAAATTTAAGTCTGAGTGCAATGTTGGGCCACGGCTGTTCCAGTCTTAATTCAAATTCGAGGCCAAGTGCGAATTTGGACGCTCACAGGAGTATGTGTACCAATATGGAAGTAACTAATTTTGTTTTCCTGCTTAACATCAAGTTGTGTTAAGGGACTGAAAATCGGTATAAAATTATGGCCCAACCCTAACCTGGTACACAGACTACGGGAGTACCCAAAGTTGAGTCACGCTAACCGAGTCTTGGTTCAACTTCAAGTTCTCACCAACAGTCAGTTGTATATGAGTCTCTGACAAATGGTCCAGCCCTCCCAGGACTGATTTCAACTCAATATTTTTAGTTTGTGATTTAAAGATAGTTTAGGACCCATGCGCTAACCACTAAGCCATTGATCCAAGTTTAGTGTTATCCAGTTCAAAATTGTTTTGGTTTCTTTTCTTCTAAAAGCTATTATGGTAGATATAACCCAGAAATCATACATATTGAATAGTACCTTCAATTTGAATTGTATAGCCAGCACATCTAGTTATTGAAATTGGGAACACTATTATCAGGATAGGTGTCATGAATTCAAAAATTTCTGTTTGATTTTAATACTTAGTCTCTGATTTTTGATTTCCAATTTTATTATTTGAATGAGGTCTCCTGACCTTGAGTTACAAGTCAAGTAAACTTGTGGGCCATCCGAGTCTCAAGTCAGGTTTGAGTCTGAACTCCAGTAGAATCACTGGGCCAAGTCCACGTTGCAGTTAGCCTAGAATTAATACAGGTCATCTTATAATTTCATCGATACAATTATATATAATTTCAGTAACTCTTGACATTCCAGTGACTGCCGCGAACTTAATTAATAGACCATAAAATATACTCATAATACCGCAAACAAAATATCAGTGTCCTCATGTTTTGAATCACCTTAACCGTAAGTATACTTTCATTGCTTTGCCTTCTCCAGGTAGTATTTACCGAAGCTGGAATTTAAAAAAAATTTCGATTCCTATTTCTAAATAAACTATTGACTTTCACAGTTTATTTGGATGGAGTAGTCTAGCTATTTATGAAGAAACACTATTTCGAGTCCTGAAATTACTGAGGACTGTTTATGTTGGATGATTGGTCTCTGGCCTGAAAATCTCTTTTTGTATAAGGCTGCATAGTAGCAGTCCCTGATGTGTAAGAGTTCACTATTTACTAAGCTGCTAAGTCAACATAATTATAATATGACAAATAAAAATTCAGTGTTCCCATGTTTAAATCACCTTGTCTGTATATATACTGTGCTTTCTACAGAAACTATTCCAAAGAAAAATAACATGAGGAACTTTGTTTAGTATAGTTTACCAAATAATAACTATTGAATGGTACAGTTTATAGAAACTGTGTAGTCAGAAAATATTGTGAAAAAGGGAAACACTATTCTTGAGAAAAATTGTTGAATTATAGTCTCCGAAAACAGTTTTGTGTAAGTATACCTGTGGTCTTTGAGATATTGAATTGGATATTATTCCTGTGGAATTTATTCCAGGTCTGGTTGGTTGCAGACATGTTGCTAATTATGAATACAAGTTAGAGTTTGACCATGAAAACATAAAACTACTGCCTTAAAAAGATACTAATGTACCGGTAATAACATACATGTAGACAAATTTTCAACTGAAAAATATCCCTCAAACAGAAAATCAAATCATTGTAGACGGGTTTTGCAAGACGTGGTGGTATTATGCTCGAAAAAAAAAATGAATATTGTAAATTGTTTATAAAACATATCTTTGTCCTTGACTTGAAAACAACTCCTTTTTGACAACCCATGTTGTTGGATACGGTACATTGAAATCTGTGAAATCGTATTTCTTATTTGTCCCGTATCCATGCCTTTTGTCTCAAACAAAGCCCTCACAAGCGTCCACTGATATCATTAGTAGTATGCTAAGCATTAGTAACATGCTCGCCAACTCACCTCTGATTACCCTGCATGGGTTCAAAAGTCTGATTCAATGCAGGATAGGATTTACATATTTATCCCGGGGGAGAGGAAAGCCGATAAGACGGCTTATCCATATGGCGAACCACGGCCTCTCGTCCGGTTACCATTCCAAGTCGGGTATGGGATTAGTTTTACTGTGTTGTTGGTTTTCGGAAGCATGGACTTGGTGGTGGAGGAAGCCGTAACCGACCAGCGGTTACGTGAACCACCCAACGTCGGCGAGGAGTCCAGCAATCCTCTCGCACATAACCATCGCTACATGGGATTCGAACTTGCGAACCCACGCAGAGTAATTAGAGGTGCGGTGGCGAGCGTATTCCTAACGCTTAGCCCGTTGAGCCACACCGCCGCGCCGCCAGGGATAGGTATGTACGAAAGAATTGTTGGACCTGTCGTCATGGGGTGGTTCACATAACCCTGGTCGCTTACCGCTTACTCTGCCATCAAGTTCATGCTTCCGAAAACAAAACAACTAACTAACTAATCCCATATCCTGTATGGACTAGTATCCGGACGAGACGCCATGATTCGTCATATGATTAAGCCTACCTTAGTGGCTTTCCTTTCCCCCGGCATAAATAAATGAATCCTATCCCATATTAGGGTTGACAGTGAGGATGGCGGAGATGCGTGATTTACTATAAACATGTTCAAATGTAAAATATAGAGAATATTCTTAATTCTGCAATATTCGATATTGCAGTTCATGGTTTGTTTGTCTGGATATCAGTCTAGGTCAGGGGTGTCAAACTTGTGGGTTTTCGGGGGCGGCATTGCATTTTGGGAATTGTGCAAAGAGCCGCAGACAGTTTTTGATATATTTTTATAATGTATACTTGAAGCATATTTTAGATAGGTATAGTTTGTGACATACATTGTGATGCAATTGAACAGCTGAATGAAGATTTATTATTTTCTTAAATTTCAAATGCCATTTACATATTAATTTTTCTGTATTTAACTGTTATTGTAATTTACTGTATTTATTACAAAAAATCATAAATTTTTATGTACAACTATCCAAAACATTTTTGAACAAAGTTTTGATAAGGAAAGAATAATACATACACTAAAAATGACTTATTCTAAATATATATCTAAATATATATAAAAGATCCCAACTTCCTTCAAATATACTTTTTCTAGCTTGAGGTGTATCCATAATTGGGTCAAATGGAAAACAAATAAAATTTTGATTTTCAAAAACTACATTCAGTAAATTGTCGTTTTGTGTGTGAATAATCAATTTCAATTTGAAAGGTTTGAGAAATGTATTACATTTAGATAAGAAAACTTCCAAAATATTACAATTATTGTTAAGCGTTCGAGGGCCGCATTGGGAGTTCTCTGGGGCCGCATGCAACCCGCGGGCCGAGAGTTCGACACTCCTGGTCTAGGTCACTGTTTTCCAACCTATGAGTCATGTTGACACAATGGTTGTAGAAGCATAGTCGAACCTCATACTAAAAATTGTTGATGATACTAAAATTAAATATATTTTTATTTCAGGTACAGGAAAGCTGGTCTATATTGTGATTTTACGATCAAAGTTGGTTCAGAAAAATTTCGAGTGCATAAGATTATTTTGTCTACTGCAACTGATTATTTCAAATTAATGTTTCGACATGAGGTCAGTATATTTATAATATCTGAATACAAATATAATAGTTGGCATTATGGCTTAGTCAACCCAGTTCAAATCTCATGCCCGCCACCTCACCCAGGATGGGCAATGCCAACTGAAAAGATTCTGGTTGTTCCCAAAGTAATAGATTCTAGCTATTAGTGACTGCTTATACTGCTTTGTTTGCAATAAAAACCGTGAAATATAAGTCATAAAAAGTGAAAGCTAACTAGTAAAAAAAATCGAACAAATGTTCATCGAAGTTCCATTCAATGACCCTAGTTCTGTAGTCTGTTGTGATCCTGGGTTAATAGTCCACCATGCGAGACTAGGGTTACGAATACATACTAATTACTAATACAGGATCCAGTATTGCCCCAAAAATACTTATACCAGGTTAAGATGGTGGTATTGGCCTAACCATGGAGTAAGCAGGGCTTAAACTCAACATAATATGACAACACACGAATCTGCCCTGGAAATATAGAAACCCTCCCAGGGTTCCCATAGATAGTGCAATAGAGGGTTTCAATAAAATGGTACACGATTGATATATGAGACAAATCTTGACAGTGTGATGTATTTACTTACAACTTACACCTCCAAAATACTTTTTCAGACTGTTGAGACTCTGTCAGGTGAAGTTGATATCCAGGGCTTCAGTGCGGATACTATTGAGAAAGTTATCGAGTATATGTATACTTCCAAATTCCCCATTGATGAGACATCTGATATCGCATCATATATGCAATCTTCTCATATGTTCCAACTGGGAAGTAAGTGTTTTTCTACTTGGAACCCTTCATTTGGTTATTCAGGTTATAAAAATTCAGGTTATAAAAATATTTTGACCATTTGTCAAGTTCCAACTCTAAAACTAAATTTTTGAGTTTTTGAGCTACCTTCAGAAATATTGGTTTTAGTTATCACCTTCAAAAGTCTGCAAAATTACAACTTCCACTCCTGACTGCAGAGAATTGAGAATTTTGAGTCCGACTCCAGATTCTTGGAAAGTTTGAAAATACAAATCAGACTCCAATATCAATAAAAACAAAATGATCAAGACAAATCAACTTATAAATTTTTTTATTTGAAAATGATTTGAAAAAGAAGACACATCAAAGTCTAGCTCCTTCAATAACGCTTGATAATCTACAGCACGGGTGTGCGACCTGCAGCTCGCGGGCTAAATGTGGCCCTCAATGAAAATTTATCTGGCTCGCAGAGTTAAGTGGCAATTTTGAATGATGAGGTCCTGTAAAATGACTTTTCAATTTAATTTAATTTAATTTGGTATGTGCGAGTAATCCCAATCCCTTTGCATTGCGAATCCTATATCGGAGTTTAATTTATCTATGTCTATGACTTTTTAATGCCCCTAACATCTAGCTTGTGTGAACGACGCATGTCATAACATCAATGACACCCCTGACCTACAGTATTTTCATAGTTAAATGGTTAGAGCCATGGCGGGTTAAACAAAGGTGAAATCACCACTGGATATGCCTTTTCCATCTTATATTTTATATTTCTTAATAATTGAAATTATTTTTTAATAAAAATTTTCAGAATTATGTGGCATCGTAACTGAATACCTGGAACAGCATTTGGGTCCCAAATCTTACTTCATCACCATAAATATCTCGAAGTTGTACGATCTGAAACAACTCGAAGCCAAATGTGTTGAAATTGCTTCCAACAACTTTGCAAAAATTGCAGAACTGGATGAATTCAAGGAAATAGATGAAAAACAGTTGGTGGGAATGATCAAAGCCGAGGAAAACACGGTTAGTGGAATATTAGTCATTGAGACTCTTTATTATAGATGGGTAGCACTGTATGATAGGAATTACATGTTCATCCAGAGGAAAAAGAAAGCCACTAACACTGCTTAGTCATATGGTGACTAGTCCATGCTGAGTATGGGATTAAGCAGCAAGTTATTTGTTTCCGTTGCATGTACTTGATGGTGGAGGAAGCCTTAACCAGCGGTAGCGTGAATCATCTTACAGTGGGAGGAGTCCAGCAATCCTCTGGTACATAATTATCCCCCACTGGATTTGAACCTGCGAACCCACGTAAGGTGCAAAAGGGTGCAGTGGCAAATGTATTTCTAATGCATAGCACAAAGCACCACTTTGACGAGCCAGGCTCGCGCTTACTTGGCTCATAAATGTTTGTTTGCACAGGCCTAAGAATTTGTGGTTAGTATTATTAATGCCTAGTCCAACTCTAAAAGGTATTAATGGTGGTTTACGGTTAATGTTCTATAGTGAAGTAGTATATTTCACGAAAAAAAGGGACTCCATCTTCGCTGTAAATGCCATTCTATAAATAGCATAGATTTGAAATCGTCCTTCAGATATGTGAAATCGTTGATGTGACTCAGACGGAAAATGAACTACAATAAACTCCCTATATAATGGCTTAGTATTGGTTTATCATGTACTTTTAGTCTTACATTCCATCTCTGGCCCTGTGATGTTTTGAAAAATATTGATTTCGACTGCACCATACTTGGCAGAGCTATCAAGATTTTTAAACATGAAAAAAACGTAAATTAATGGTAATTTTCACTCGTAAGGCACGCATAAAAATGTTTACGTCTATCTACGCGCATTTCCGTCGGAAAAAGTAACATTTTTTGCATTGAGGGGGGCCTGTGCAGTAATAATTAGAGGTGTGACGTCATCAAAATTGTCAATTGAAGCATTGAACTTGAATATTCTGTAAATACAGTCGTGAATTTCAGAGTACACTTCTTGCTATAATAGTGGTTTTGGTGTTGTTCTGTTGGAAAATAACACAAGAAAACGTTTGAATAAAAATTAATTAATTAGGAATAATTATTAACCCTCTACTAGACACAAAATCTCGCAAGTTCACTAGAAATTTGGAATTTTTGCGTATAGAAAAAATATTTTTAGAGGAGTAAGTTATAAACATATATTGCTGAATAGAACTCTAGCACACGCTATTAAAAAGCCATGAGTGAAGTTTTAGGGCTTAATGGTTGACAAAAAAATAACCAATGTAAAATGGCCCATGGGTGACCGGTTAGGGGAGGGTTAATAACATTTTTGATTCTCAGACAATGTTGCTTATAATTCATATACCTACATTCAAACTTGCTTTATCCTAATACCAGATTCCTAATCTTGGAAATATTGGGCAATAATTTTCTTACTGAAGGTTAAACTGCTCTTAAAATATAGCCATTAACTGAAAGCCATTCATATAATAAGCAATGTCTAGCAAACATTTGTCCCAAGTGCATCCGCATCAAGCCTGGTCCCTTTTAATTGGGACACTCACTGACTCACACTAACCACTAGGAACTAACACCCAAATAAGTTAGAAATAGAAATGAAATAGAAATGCAGTCCTTCCTACTTAAATTGTCAACTATGTAGTTATCTATATGCCAGGGATTGCAGACCCTTTTCAATGAATGGGTAAAAAATTATATTTTTATCGCGGAACAGAAGAGAGTGGGTCACAGATATATGATCAATGTTTGTATCTATAAGAAACTTGTGAAACTAATCTTATAAGCTTCTGTCGGTGTTGGTGTAGTTTTGGGCTTTACTTATGCAACACTTCTAACAGAGACTTTTTATGGCACTCGACTTTATGAAATTAGATTCTGAAACCACGCATATGAATTACCAAAAACGTTTGAAATGATGCGGCAAATTATTTTACGGTACCAAAGAGTTTGGAGGGAATTCCACTCTGATAGTTTTATATTTTTCGATCAGCTTTCAACCACATTAAGGCAGTTTTACACTACCCCATTGTTATTTCAGATTTCTAGGTTTTTATTTCAAGTCTGAAAGATTTTGTTTTCTCAACAGCCTTGTAGGCGAGAAACCAATAAAATGCAGAGTAGCATCTAGTTCTCGTATAACCCCTAAAACAGTCTGCAGATGCACTTCCGAAAGAGGCAAGACGTTGCGAGAAATAAACAGATCAATTGCATTGTTATGTCATAAACGATGTCGCCACGACCAGCGAGTCAGTGGTTCGCCATCCCTGCTATATGCCATCGCCAAATCGAATTTGATTTTCAGCGAAACTTCACAAGTGATTGTGGCCAACCAAACGCTGGTTCCAGCTAGGGTCCATTTACTCCAAACAATAGCCACGGCAGTAAGCCACTAATACATGAAATGTACCTACTATTTCTTATGACTGTCATAAGACTCAGAATTCTATAACCTTTATTCCTATTAGGCAACTGAAGAAGAAAAATGCCTGGCTTTGATGAATTGGACAAAATTTGATGAGAAGAAACGTTCGAAGCGGTTTGTCAAATCTTTCAAGCAACTAGATTTGAGTAAGATCGCGCTCTCATATCGCAGAAATCTCCTGGAGCAAGATGTAAGTCTTTCATTTTTGGAAATCCTATTCAGAAACTTGTAAAGGCAATATCTATATTTAATACAGTAAGGTTTCATAATATTCTAGATGTTTGCATAATCCTTGATGTGGGACAAAAGCCAAGTCCAAGTTTGCAATTTTGAAAATTGACAAATCCTTTTGTATCCAGAGGGTTCATCTTCTCGGATATATTGACCACTAGTATATAGAGAAACAATAAAATTGATCATGTGGCAACCATAACTCAAAGTTAGGTTAAGTACAATAAATTAGATATTTAATTTTGGCATTTAGTTGGTGAAATACGCTATTGAAATATTGCACAAACACCAAGGGGTGCCAAGTTGTCAAACAACATTTTACATCCTGCTATTTGATTATTTATTTGACTATCTTTAGACCCTGATTGGTTCGAATGCTGAAGTACTCAAGATAATAGCACTTTCGTTTTTGGAAAGCAAGACTGCTACATCAGATTCTGAAGGTAACTTGGAACAAACATTTATTACTACTCATATTATTCTAATTTCTAATAATTTTGTTTTGGTCATTGTAATTTGTAATATGTTGACTTTTTTCGATTTATTCCAACGCAAAAATTTTTGATTGATCTTTTATAATAGTCAAATCAGGAAGTCATATTTATTTTTGGTTACTTAGCTAAAGATACTTGTTCAGCTTGACTTCCTGAGATTCGAATATTCACAAAGCTCTTTACAGGCAGTCACATTCTCTCAATTCAATTCCCTAAAATTCAAATCACAAGGCCTCTTACAGGGAGCCATTTTAGAGATCATTAGTTTTGATAGAACTGAAATTTTACCATTGTGACTCAATTATTGGATTAAACTGAACACATTTTAATTCACTGGCTGCTGCCCTACTGTGGGCCAGGGTGGAAAGCAAAATGTTTCGGGCAATAATGAAAACATTTAGGACAAATTACCAACTTTGACTTAAAATTATTAATTTTACCTGCTCTAGATGGCTTTAGCATACAAGCATTTTTATATTCCAGACGATGCGTTGGTCGTTTTCGACAAGACCTCTTTCCATCTCAAACAGTTCAATCCAAGGTCAAATGCATGGAAGCAAATGCAGGTAAGCATCATCAGCTTTGCATGACCAACTGACCACACTGAATAACCTTTTAGCATATGGAAGGTCACGAATCTTTGCAAATATACCAAATAAGTCTATTATAGTGAAGAAATAATTTCAGCAAACTTTTGTAATGGCTGAAATGATTTTTGCTTTGGAACAATGCCACACACCCCGATCGAACCATATTTTCTTGCCCACATGGTAGGCTGAAATTTTTTCTTTCAACATGGGAGATCGACGAAATATGAGGGAAAATATTTCTCACCCAAATGCATTTTATTTGTTTGCAGTCTATGATTGATAAAGATGGGCTTGATATTTTGACATGAAATTTTGATTTTTGATGGGGTATCAGCCTCATCTTTTCTCTGAACAAGACTAAACAAGCAGCCATCAATACGAACGCCGCTGCTACTATTTTGAAATGTCTAAAATCAGCATTAATTAACGATTATCTCACGACATCGGTAGGTAAATAGAGTTAGAGTCGTAAATATATAAATCGGCACATTCTGATTTGAATCAAAAATAAAATATTCGCAACTGACATCCCTGGTAATAGTCATGAGGTTTGAACCGTTGATCTTTAACTTGCAACACGAACTTAGATCTCAGTAGAGTTCCCAGGAATCTCGATCTCCCATTCTGTATATGTGTCATGTAATGAGCTGACACTCAGAAAACTCTTTCTTTATATAGGAAATGTATGACAACATGAAGTCAGGATGGTTCTCTGCTATTGCATTGAATCAGCATATTTATGTCTTAGTTCGAGACAACTCATTTTATCGACTCAAATATATCGATATTAATGCTACATGGGAGGAATTGAAGAGTCCATTCCAAAATCATGGCAGATTCCCACCAATGACTTCGGTTGATGGTTAGTAGTGTATATACCTCAACTAATTACTTTGGTAATTCTTTATTTCAATTTATATTACCAAATACTAATGTTTTTCCAGATTTTTCCAAGCATGCCATGTCTTAGATACATTGTTTGTAAAGTATCTGTAATATCAGAGGTTGGCAAAATACTTGAGTGAAATTTGTTCAAACCATTTTCTGCCTCTTAACACAAATTGAAAATATTCATAATGTCAGCATATTACGTTTCCATTGTAGGTGAATTGACTTTCCAATTTGAGTAATCACAAAGTCTTAAATTAGAGTGGAGCGATAAACCCAACTCTTTGTGCAGTAAAGGTATTTTATTGGCTTCCATTGTATACAAATAGCAATGAAAATTAACGGAGGTTTCTCAACAAATCCCAGGATAAAATTCCTCCCAATATCATTAATTTTAACGTAATATGACAATGAAATTTTGGTAGTATTCAGGTAAAAATACTATGAAAGTCACTTGGCTAGTAACGGAACTCGTAATGGAACTAAAATATGGAAAATTAGAATAAAATTATGGCCTAACCCTAACCTGGTACACATACTATGTTCTGGTTTCCGCCATCTTGGTTCACATACTTCGGGAGCACTAAAATTATTGCATGTTGGGTTAAATCCAATTATATCTGTGCTATTTTTTAACTAGCACGGGTACAATTACAAACCTGTCAGGCCTCTGGATATTGTTGTAATCCCTTGTCCATAGTGATGTAATACAACATCTTGTAAAAAAACATTGTACCATTCATCATACTAAGCTTAAAGATGATGGTCATGGGCTTGCACTGAATTAACCGGGGCTTGAACCCAAGAACCTTCCCTTACCACCTTGCACGTCTCACGAGGCCATAACCCCCCACCTCTACTGTGAACTTGTAAGAGTTTCTATTCAGATTAAGCAGACAAATTTTGATTGCTGTGTTGGGGATTAAAGCTTTGCAATGGGCTTATCATTATGCCAATGCCGCTATAATATATTCATATTTTAAAAAATATCAAATATCCAATTTGAAGTTTTATTTGCATATCAGGTGAAATCTGGATTGTTGGTGGATGTAATAGATCCGACACAAAAACAGTGGAAAAGTATGATTCTCTTAGAAACCAGTGGACAAAGATGAAGAGCAAGACTGTTGAATGTAATGGTCCTGCAGTCATCTGCATGCAAGGTATGTTTTTTTCAAACCAGGTTATTTTATCAAATTCTCCTGCACATTGCCAGAGAGTAAGTACAGAGTCTTTGTTTAGTTTGTTTGAGTGTTGAAAACATCTCCATTCATTTTTTTTCGATTAGTTGGATTGTTCAAGATATCGTGAGTCTGGCTTTTTAATATTCTGTAAAATGCATTAAGAGCAAGTATATCATGTAATAATTCAACCTTCATTTAATTTAGTAGCATAGCTGTCTGAAAACATGGATTGGCGAATGTTTCATTTCTGAGATTAATATTGCGCAATATTACTTGAAATAGTCAAGTTTTAATCACAAAAAAATAAAGAATATAAAAAACCTTTTTTATCAAATGTACTCAACATGCAGATGCATATATATCTCTTTTTGTTGAAAAATCCCATCAAATGACAGAGTAAAATGGATGTATAAAATGTAATAATTCAACCTTCATTTAATTTAGTAGCATAGCTGTCTGAAAACATGGATTGGCGAATGTTTCATTTCTGAGATTAATATTGCGCAATATTACTTGAAATAGTCAAGTTTCAATCACAAAAAAATAAAGAATATAAAAAACCTTTTTTATCAAATGTACTCAACATGCAGATGCATATATATCTCTTTTTGTTGAAAAATCCCATCAAATGACAGAGTAAAATGGAATAAAGTGAAGCGCCGTCTGCCGACTAAATATTATGAGTTAACTGAAAAAATATATTTTTTAATGATCGCTGTCTAATAGAAGAATGCAAACATCAATAGGCTATGTTGGAATGGTAGCTTTTTTTTGATAAAATTAAATTTCAATGCAAGAACCCTTGGAAAGATTATATATATTATAACATTTAGGATAGGATTTACATATTTATCCTGGGGGAGAGGGAGGCCGCTAATATGGCTTATTCATATGGTAAAGCATGGCCTCTTGTACGCTTAATAGTTGATCTCGGGTTTGGGATTAGTTAGTCACATATTTGTTTTCAGATTCATGGACTTGATGGTGGAGGAAGCCGTAACCGACCAGCAATTTCGCAAACCACCCTACGATGGTGAGAAGTCCAGCAATCCTCTAGCATATAATTATTCCTACATGAGATTCGGACCTGCGAACCCACACAGGCTAATCAGAGGTGCGATGACGAGTTTATTCCTAATGCTTAGCACGTTAGTCACGTCGCAGAACATAATCACGTATAGTGAAAAAGAGCAAAGTATTTTCATTTTTTAAATTCATTATCAATGTAGTTCAAGATAAATATTATATCGCGCCTGATATGAGATCGTCGGAACCATTTGACACTAGAAGTGCTGCCAAGTGACAAATAATAATTGTTCCTATTTCAAATACATGGCGTCCATCTAATTAATTTTTCTCATGTTTTATATACTTAGCAACCTTAGCGAAGCTCGATTTTTGCTCGATATAGTCCAACAATCAAAATTTTTTCTCCACTAAGTATTTTATTTAAGTGTAAAAAGGCTTTAATTTGAACATTCCTATAAAGTTTGTGAGATCAATAGCCAAAAATGCTGCGGTACTCAAACAAAAATTCAGTGCTTGAATACCAGAGTGCACCACGGAGTGAGATTACCCAAAAATCACAACTGCCTCTTAAACATTCAACATGAGAGTGAGCTCAAATATATGGACACGAGGGCCAAATCGAAGTAGTACAGTATACAATGTGTCACTGTAGACTACCAGTATGGTAACCTTTACGACCAACACAAAAGCGCAGCCGGCACATGGTGTGCAATTTTGAAGACCCTCATTGCACCTAAAAACGAATCCCATTCGGAAATACGCTAAAACGTAACATAACCGATACAAATTTTGTATATTTTATTTTTATCAAGTTTAAACTTCATAATGTATACTGCTAAATAATTATTGTCGTTTTGGTACACTTTTTGTTAATAATCATGGTAGTTTCGAACTAACTAAAATTATTTCCAATATTTCTTGTAGCAAAAATATTTCGGTATTTAAACAAATATATAGTCAAACATCAATTGAGATATGTTCAACTACCGATGTATGTTACTTCATGAAGCTAGTATTAAAACGAATGCTTTGTTATTGATCAGCTTTTCATTTTGAACAGGGGTTGATATATTTCTTTGAACAAACTTTAAAAAATTACATCAGATATTCACATTTTCATTTAAAATCCCAATATTGTGTGCTGGTATGCTGGGAGCCAGAATTTTTTTTTTGCAATTGCAGGAAGCATTTATAGTTTGGGAGGAAGGGAAGGATCAAGAAAAACCAACAAAGCAGAATGCTTCAATCTAAATACGTCAACATGGAGTTTCATTTCACCAATGCTGAATGCAAGAGAAGACTCTGCTGCTGTTGAATTTCAGAATCGACTTTATGTGCTTGGTGAGTTGTTTTAAGTTCATTCAAGTCTAGATAACATGGAGTTCAAATTTTTTTCCAGAATGATTAGATTCTATAGTTTAATACTAACAGACAGAGTTGTGTAGAGTTTAATAATTGTATATATCAAGCCACCTTTGATTTTTCCTACCATTGCGTGCTTTTACATTTTGTATTCACTACACAGTGACTAATGAGAGCCACAAGTAATCCTGAAATTGGACTAGTTCTGGTGTGGAAAAATTCATTGAAAAAAGTCCAAATTACTGTAAATAAGAGAAGAATTTCCATTCCTTTTCAAACAATACACTTATAAATGAGAAAGAAGGATATTTGAATACGCCTGGCAAAGCAAAAGAGTAAGGGCAGTAAGAATTCTTCCAGATTATCCCGTTAGGTGGTGCAACATTATCTACCTTTTTTGGATAGAAAGCTCATTTTCAAATATAGCGTGGTCATGAAAAGCTTTTGTGGTCTAAGGCAGGGGTATCAAATCTATATTACAGAAGGGCTAGTTACTAATAAGTGGGTGAAGCCGTGGGCCGCACCTAGAAACTCTACCTATAAAAGGCTCTGGATAACAAAAATCCAACTACGAAAAATTCTTCTTGTAAAAATATTGCTTCGGCCAATGTAAGATTTTCTACGTAAGAAAAGCAAAACGAGCGTAGTGATATTCGTTTATTGTGGGTTAATTTAATGCAGTGCTTGAGGAAGGGATGTCCCATTTGAATTCAATATTTTAATATCGCATCCTTCGAATATCGTTTTTCGCCTTTATAAGAATACAAAATATGATGCACATATGATAACAATCCTGTCCATTTTTTGATTTAAAACATTTTACAATTATTTTTTTGTCGAAATTCGAAAGCAGCTGTGTGCGATGTGGCGATAAATTATCTGTCATTCTATTGACCAATTTGTTTCCTGTGGGCATGTACAATGTGTTTCTAGCAAAATTTAGTGAGATAACGATAACAGTTAAAACAAAAGTAAAATGAAATGAAGAAAGGTGGAGATTTTGAATTTTATGTGTGTGTGTGCTCATTTTTACATTACGTTATCTCTCAGCTGTCAACTTTAGCTTTCTCTTCCGACTGCGCCGTCCTCCCACTCTCCACGGTCTTCGTTTAGTCTAGCCTAGTTGGCCGATGCCGAAGGTCAACAAATATACAGTTCGTAGGTCTTCTAAGTTTTAGATCGTATTTTTCAGTTTTACTCATCCCACCCAATTCTAGTCTATCTGGCATTTGATAATTTTGTTTACAAAAAATCATCTTATGAATTAACTTCAACTTCTTTTCTTATTATATTACACAACAAAAACGTGACACATGCTTTTATTTTAAAAATTGAACATAACTTAATATTGTACATATTCGAACATTATTTTTAGGCTTATGCGCAGATGAAAATTATTCTGGGATTGCCATTGAAATACACATGAATTTTATGAAATTGAAGTTTTTTTGTAACTTCAGACAAAGGCTTAGCAAATTCAAACAAACTATTTGAGTCGCAAAATAATTTACAAACTCCGCAGTCACATTTGATGATTTCTTTTCTTTTCAATCAAATAGTTAATTCAACTCCTGATATCACAATTGCATAAATATGATTCAAATTAATTTTTTTTAAATAATGTTTTTTAGACATTTCTCCTATATGACTTGAAAAGCAATAACTGATCTGGATTTTGCTAAAATTGAAATTGCTTGCACTTGGCAATAAATTTATTTCAAAATAAAAATACTCATGTTTTATGGAATATTTCTTCTAAATAGTGATATATTCAAGCTCAGTGTTGATATTCACATAAAATATTTACCCAACTCCCAGTGATATGTTGTCTAAATTTGTATATAACTTATATTTTATGAGATATATCTTCTGAAGACATGCAAAAGCTGATATTTTGGATGTTTGGCTTACAAATGAATGATTCAGCTTTGTGCTGATATTGACACACTTTCACTTATTGTATACAAGGTGGATATGATGATGGTCAGGATCTGAAAACTGTTGAAACATACGATCCATCATCCAATTCCTGGACCATGCTTGCACCGATGATATCGGCTCGTCAACTTCCCAAAAGCTTTGTTTTCAACGGGAACATTTATGCAGTTGGTGGAATCAAGTATGTATAGTTACATCATTATTATATCACATTGCATTCAGTTGCGCAGATACTAAATGTTCATTGTAGTTACGTGATATTGGTTATAGTAAAGTTACAGTGACTCTGATGAATATTTTACTAGTTTTTTTAATGATGTATGACTGTCTTCGACTTGTTTGAAATTTAATTTATAACTCCCATCTATAGATGGGATATGTATACATATGCGTGGCCAGGTCGTCGAAAAGAAGGATCTTGTCACGAAAGTTCCCTGATAGTGGCTTTTAAATAATCACCCGATTACTAGACTTTAGACTCTAAAATTAGGTTCTTATTCGAAGATGATTTATAAAGCGCTCTATATTTGAGTAGGCTTTCATGCTGAATTTATCCCCCTAAATAGGGGCATTCCTCTCAGTTAAAGTATTACCGCCTGGTTTAAATATATTGGGAGGTCGACGACCAGTGCTATCAAGTATGACCCTACCCATGAAGGTTTGTTCATAAATCATGACTTCCTCTAATGTTTAATCAAATCCAACAGAACTCCGGTAACTCAGGCCTTGCCTGATAACCCACTCAACCTGAGCATGATGACCGGCAGGTTCCATAGCACCGGTTCGAACTAACGTTGGTCAAGCAGTCAATACTCAAACCCATGATTTATCCGAAAATGCTTCATACACCCTGTTTTCAGGATTTGTCAAGTCTTGCGTTCCACCTCAAAAATAACTGCTGTAGCTAACAACAAGCTACAAAAAAACAGATAATAAGGCAAAAGTACGTTTTATTTAAAAATCATGTTGTAAATATTTAGAGGGAACCCAAATATCCAAAATAAAGAAGTTTGAATATCTAAAATAAGAAGATCAAATCTAAGAAATAGTTTGATTTTCCATTAGTTTCATATCCCCTCTAAGCAATTGCGGGGCCCCCCACCATTTGAGAACCACATATGGGTTTGGCAATGGCAAATCATTAAAAAATTAGTCTTTCTCACGAGCCTTAACAAATTTAGAAGCCTGTAGTTATGTATGGTTTTGTAGCTTATTTTTGTTCTTATCTCTCTTTCAGTTCAAGTAAAACCATGGAGAAATACGATTCTGAAAAGAAAACCTGGGTGATGGTTGACATTCCCAAAGATATGGACCTTTATATATGGAACTCAGTGAAAATGAGAGCCATATGAATATTCCCACCCAACATATTGACTTTCGAACGTTCCACAGCTTCTAATTATTTTCTTCCCATTTATCGTGGCATTTGATTTTTATATTTTGTATTTTGCAAATCAATCAAATATTCTTTCTGTTCAAATTGTAATTGAATTTGAACTCAGTCCCTGTATATCGCGAAAACCCTTCCTCTCCCCGTACTGCCAATATTTTTATATCAACTCATATTAATTTGTGTGCGATCAAATTAGGATAGGATTTACATATTTATCTCTGGGGAGAGGAAAGCCAATAAGACTGCTTAACCATATGGCTTACCACGGCTTCTCGTCCAGTTACCATTTTATGTCGGTTATGGGATTAGTTAGTTATTTGTTTTTGGAAGCATGGACTTGATGGTAGAGGAAGCTGTAACTGACCACCCATGGCTACGTGAACCACCCTACGACGGCAAGAAATCCAGTAATCCTCTCACACATAACTATTCCACATGGGATTCGAATCGCGAACCCACGCAGAGTAATCAGAGGTGCGATGGCGAGCGTATTCCTAATGCTTAGCATGTTGAGCCACACCGCCGCGTCAAATTAGAGCCCTGAATATTGTGAAAAGCCTTGCTTCCCAGCATTTACACTCACTACGGCAAAGTTCCCAACCCTGGGGATTTTGTAGGTCTTGGAAGGAATTTTGCCTTGCACTTGCTGCGGAATATACCATTCTTGAGGTCTGTTTATTACTATAATACCACGTTGTAAACAACTTGATTTGTACAAAAGCGAGAGTGCGATTTGCCATAACAATTTCTACTGAGCTAAGGGTCCATTAAATATTGAATTTAATGAAAAAGGTTGGAACCACTGCACTATGGGAGGACTACTTGGGGATTAGTTTAAAATATTCTACTGTTAGGCTCCATTTTTAAGTACTGGGATAAATATAAAATCCTATTTTACATTCTTGATTTTTAAATACTTCCTGAAACCCTTTAATTCAGTTTGCAAAAAGGAAGTTTTTATTTCTGATTTTTGTGTCCACTGTTTGTTAAATTTCTTGTGTATATTCTGTTTCTCCTACAATAACAATATTCATATTAGAGGGAGTTACTAGTTGATTTGGAAGAAGCTTTCTAGTTCGACATGGACTGAAGGGACTCCAATTAGGGCGGTTATTGACGAACTAGATTGAATGCATTAGGATAAAAAAAGTTGTAAAAATTGCTAGATAAAACAGTGTTGTTATTGGTGCGACATGATTCAGTCTAAGGTTAAACTAAAATGTGCCAGTAATATAGGATTTCAACATCTGCTACACCATAAGCATAATATTTTTCAAGTAAACTAAATGACTACTTTTCATGAATGCAACATGCAAGTATTCCCATATGCCTGTAATGAAGTTATAGATACTACACCTAAATATTATGTTCATCCTTGAAATAGGTAACTTAATTGAAATTTGAGGGTTTTTTATTCTCAAATATGCTTTTTTTTGTCGAAAGTAGTGAGTTAAATGTCAAAGTAAATTCTGTCTGGACACCGTCAATTTTAATTTCATGTATTTTTTATTCCAAAATAGCCATTCTAATTGTTTTTAATGCTGTATCAGTGATTTAAATGTGTTCCCTATGCACTTTGCTACTATTGTAATCTGAATACCCATACTCCAAGTTATATATTTTGAATTAATAGTACCGCCAATCGAGTGCAATGCCTCATTAAAATCAATGTTAAGACTCTCCCCTAAATGAGAAATTGTGCCAAGATGTGTATGCAATATGGAAGTGATAACCAGACTCTTATGGTGCCGCAATGTATGAATCAAAACCTTTTATTTGAAGATTTTTTCTAATTCCCAAATATGCAATTGTATTTTTTTAAATGAGGTTAAATTTTAAATGAATAGTTAGCACTAGCAGCTGTAGCAACTTCAAAAAATTTTCCACTGTAGATATTTCATGTGTATACTTTTAATCTGATGTATTTAAAACTAATAAAATAAAGGTTCAAAACTTTTGCTTGTATTTGTAATAGTAAATTTGAGTTGGGTTGCGCGAGACTAACTTCCTATCTTTTCTCTATGCCTTTATGCTAGTGGATCCGTATGCGTATACTGCAAGGATACTGTAGCTGGAATAAACATGACTAAATGCAAATTAAATGTTTATGCATTGTTACGTCATACTTGATTTGATATTTCAAATTCATTTACCAAATTTATTTCTTGCCATTGTTGTAAACTGCTTGTCTGAGGAAGTCTGACTCTGGTCGGACGAAACGTTACAGAAATACATTTGTGTTAGTGTGCAACTGGACTCTTTTAATTGAATAGATTTGTAATAGTGTTCCTAAGTGTACTTAAGTCAGTAATGGCACAAGGCGAAAGTCCAGATTAAATGAACCTCGTATACATCAGTGATTGCTCGCCATTGTTCATTGTTCCCTTTAAAAATGTAGTGAAGTTGAAGGATGCATGTCGATGAAGAGTTTTCCAGCAGATTGCTCATAATGAACTTACGATACTACATGGACTAGTATAGACTGCAACCTCCCAATCTACCAGTGAATTAGGGTTTTATATCCTACAAAAGGCTCGGCAGTGTGATGAGCGTTTATAATACGCCCTTCACTACTCCACTGATTACCATGCGTAAGTTCGAATCCTGTGGTTGATTATTATGTTTCTGCGCCATAGGGTGGTTTACATCAGGGCTACTCAACTATTTTTACCGAAGGTCCGCATACAAAACTTAAAAATTATTTGGGTCCCGTCTTTCCAGAAATTATATTTCGGCATCCTTAAACTCGCACTTCCTCGACCGACTAATGATTATTAGCTAGTCAAGATTGTTTATTGTGGCGTTATAGTTCTTTTCGTGTATATTCAAAACTATAAAAGTCATTTTATGAAATGAAACATCTAAACTGGGGCTAATGATCCAAAATAAATAATTAGGTGCGGTCCAAATCCAATACTCGAGAATTCAAAGTTTGTCTACCGTAACCAATGTTGGGCTAAAAAGTGTCATATTCGAAGCCGTGGCTTTTTTCAAATTTAAGAGTTAGCAGTAAAAATCGGCAAGATTCTTTTACAAATACTGCAGCCTACTTTGCTTAGAAATCTTAAGATAAGATAAGTTTATTTCGACTCCATAATCAGCAAAAAAGCGATAAAATGGTTGGTAAAAACCAATAAATAAAAACTGATTATAAAATTCAGGATAGTAAAACAAAACCTTGGATAAGGTTTAAAAACGTACAGAATATAAGATGGAAGGTATTGCCAAAAAGATTTCTTATTTTTAAATTGGATTAAGACAAAATCGACTGATATGCTGGAATCAAGACTCTTGTCTGACAAAACGTTACAGAAATACATTTGTGTTAGTGTGCAGCAGGACTCTTGAATCGCATTAGTAACGGTACCAGCACTAGTATACTCGGCAAATGACAGCTTTGTGGACCACGTTGTTAAATAGACCTTATTCATTAAAAACCCATCCTACGCGTAAAAAGAAAAGTGATGTAAAAAAAAAAAAATTTTTAATATTAGCTCTTATGGGGAATGGGATCACCAGAGCAGAAATTTGCATTTTTCGTAATCACCTAGATATCTTTCAATGTAGACGTGTGCAGTTTTGAGGATAGAATATTTTTTACATCTTTTTTGATATTTTTATCATGATAAACATGGTCAAGATTTTTGATAATCGTTCATTAATTAATTTTAATGTTTTGTGGCAATAAAATTGTTTTTGTGGCAATAAATCTCACTCACTTAATGAGCGCGGTGTTTCCGATGACGTCATTCTCACTAGACCATGAGATTCTGCCAATTCGCTGTGCTCTGTGGGATATGCGCTGCAAATGTGGCGCTAGCCGCTAATGTCGCTTTAGTACTACCAGTACTGGAAGCTTTTAACATTGACAATCTATAACCCATACCATTTCTATCATGTTTGTTTACTGGTTTTACGCATTATACCTGTACAGCTACCAATCATTTACTGGAGGCATGCTGACGTGTTATTTAAACTACCGGTACCGTACCAAGGCTGCAAGAGGTGAAAACTAAATTATTTAGTAAATACTGAAATAAGCCTACGAACAGAAATTTGGCCAGCCTGCCAATAGGCAGGATAAGTGTACGGTACCGGTATACAAAAAAGATGAAATCTCCAACTTATAATGGTCAATACCGGTCTCCTAACTAGGTTAAAAAACATGACTGAATACGAGAGAGAGATTATTGCTGTTATTAAGATGATAGTTTGGTCTCCCTAAAACCAGGCACTTGCGAATCAGGCACTTTTTCAGCACTTCGATATTTTTATTTTTACCTACGTCATTGGGATTCCAATTTACCTGACAAGAAAATTAGACTTTAAATAATTTTTGCATCCCTAAATTGCAATAAAACAATATTATTTCCAATTTATTAGGTATAAATAATTTTTCAATAGTAAAATGTGGCAACGTTGATTACAAAATATAGAAATCAGGCACTTGTGAAATTTCAGGCACTTGGTCAAAACCTATTTTACAATGTATCTGATTACTCTAAAACAGAAAATTAAATATATACACTTTGTATGGTTGAATTTACAACATTTTGGTAAAATACAATACCGTTTGTGACTGATGGAGACGTGTCATATTTCGCAAGCGCTTGATTTTTCATTTTTTTCGGTGACAGTTGCCATATTTTTTCGCAATTATTTTCTTGAATTATTTGCGTCAGCACTTACTATTCTTTGCTTTCTAACGCAAATTCATTGTTCCACAACAATTTGAGCGTTTTTAATATTGCATTGAGCAATACCATTTGACAACATATGGTCAACCATCGTACTTTCTGAATTTATTTGAAATTGAATATGAATAAAAAAATCTGGCAACCTCAAGCACAAAATACTAAAACCAGGCACTGTGAAATTCAGGCACTTCGTAAAAACCTATTTCTCGATGTTTACTTACTTTGAAGCAGAAAACTAAAATATACACTCTTTTGTATGATTGAAATGACGTCTTTTTGGTAAAAAAACAAGAACGATTGGGACTGGATGAGGGGTCAAATTTCGCAAGTGCCTGAATTTTCATTTTTTTCGATAACAGTTGCCATATATTTTCGCAACAATTTTTCTAGATTATTTGCGTCAGCACTTACTATTCTTTGCTTTCTAACGCAAATTCATTGTTCCACAACAATTTGAGCGTTTTTAATATTGCAATGAGCAATACCATTTGACAACATATGGTTAACCATATGTCATTTCAATCATACAAAAGAGTGTATATTTTAGTTTTCTGCTTCAAAGTAAGTAAAAACATCGAGAAATAGTTTTTACGAAGTGCCTGAAATTTCCACAAGTGCCT